AATTAGTGTGTGAAGGAGCTGTCTGTGGTCTGCCGGCAGGAACCCAGATTCCAGCGTCTTGTTCAACCTCCGGGATGTTTTGGAGATTGAATTCCCGTCACCTGCCACCCACGAAAAATCTGTATGTCACACGGCTGCCCCTCCTCCGTCACTTTTACCTTCAAAGAACTGTTTGTGTTGTTTGTTTTAGTTATGAGCAGCGTACACACACACACACACACACACACTCTGCTTTTCCTGATTTTTCTTTGTCTCTTTGTGTTTCCCTCTTCCAAAGAGGACGGACTCCACGTCTCCTTTAATGAGGACGTTAACAGATCATTTCATTGGTCTAACAACGATGGTGGATACATCCACACCATCAGACTGTTTTTTTTAATTATGGAAAGAAAACATTTATCCCAGTTTTTTTTTATAGTAACAGCCCCCTCCTCTCTCTCTGCCTTTGGGTTGAAAGGGCGTCATGTTTATTTGCTGTCACTGCGGTGATTAATTCCTGAGCTTCATTAACATTCAGACGAGCTGAGAAAAGTTGAGTTGACCAGATGTTGATTCTTTTTCTTCCCCCTCTTCTTTAAACCTGCCATCGTCTGTCTTAATGATAACTGCAGAAAAACAGGAGCGACTCATTAGACTGAAATGTAAATAAGTCTACGTCTGTGTGTGTGTGTGTGTGTGTGTAAGAATGAGAAAGAGACACGCAGAGGAAGGGTGTGAGGGTCATGTCAGAACAAGATCACAGAACAAGGCATCAGCATCTGTGGCTTATGTGAACAAGCTGTGATTATTTTCATTCACTGATTTCTACTGCTCTCTGTGTGTGTGTGTGTGTGTGTGTGTGTGTAGGACTTCAGTGTGGAGTGTGGGATTTGTTATTCCTATCGTCTCGAAGATGCAATCCCTGATCAAGTGTGTAACGACCCTCGCTGCGGTCAACCCTTCCACCAGGCCTGTTTGTACGAGGTATAGAAAAACACACACACACACACACACACACACAGGTGTCTGTATTTGGTGTTTGTGGACAACGATTTATCACATTAACTACTACAAATATATGTCTAATCTCAATCCTTACTCCAACTCTTATTCTGACCTTAATCTAATCCTAACTTAATCTTAAACTTCAAAACACTCCTCCACAGCAGGACTGATCGTTCTCACTCAGTTCTGTATTTTTATACTGACCATCCAGTTAAATTGCAAAGAAAAGCACCCAAACCTCCTAGTGGTGAGAAGATGTAACTGAACTAAAACTACCATCAGTCCATTCATTGACTATAAAGAAGAAACAGACAAAGTCAGCTCGCTGCAAAAGTGAGATTTGAACATTTCTATTACAGACATCTGGACAACAGACACTTTATGTCATTCTCCAGTCCTGTATGAAACACTTTCTGGCTTTAAAAAGAAACTCCTGACTGAAGTAAAGACCAGTGTCACTTCAAACCGATGCTTCAGAATCAAAACGGCTACGTGATGATCTTTCCCTCTCTTCTATTTGCGTCTGTTTCCTCAGTGGCTTCGAGCGCTGCCTTCCAGCAGACAAAGCTTCAACGTCGTATTTGGAGAGTGTCCTTACTGCAGCAAGGTACGTGTGCGTACTTCATTAGCGTAGCCTTGTCGTCGGAGTGAGTTCTCAACAATGCACTGCATTCAGCTCTAGATGTTCCTGTGTTCAAATGACCGTGGGAAGCGTCTGATGTACGTGGCGTCACTGAAGGCAACGTAATATCCATTCAAAGTCAAAGTGGTTCTGGGTGAAAGAAAGCAAGTGTCCTCCAGCTGTGGTCCAATCAGATTTCCTTTATCATCACTACAGTGACAGTCGCCAGGTGTGAAACAATCAAACACAGAAAAAGGAAAGATTTGTCAGAGCTGAAAGCAGTCGCTCACAACGGAAACCTTTACAACAGTTGGTTTTTTTTTCACCTTTGAGTTACTACAACAATGTGATGAATGGATCACTCAGGGTCTGTGCTACGTCTTACTGTGGTAACCACACCCACAGATCTGACATCCCTGTGATATTCAAATACATTTCCTTTGTTTTGTTTGCTACAAAAAAAAAATCATAATCAAAATGAAACCAACTTCAGCTGAGAGAGCAGATGAGGTCAGAATTTAAACCTCATGAGTTGTTGGTCTATCATGACCTCAGACGTTGTTCTTTAACATAAACCAAAGCAGTGCCCATTGGGAATTGTACCGACAACAGGTAGACAGGGATGTTTGGTATTTAGGGGAATTGTACCGACAACAGGTAGACAGGTATTGGACATCTGCCCCAGTCCTTGGACAGTGTGTAATTAAAAAATATCATGTCTGTATCTGTTACAGCCCATCACTGTGAAAATGTCCACTCACACCTGAGGAGTGAGGAGTGGAGTCCAGGACACTGTTGCAGCGTGGCTGTGGCCCAACTCGTGGTCTGCAGCCATCTCCTGCTGCTGGTCGTGATTAAAGACCATTGGAGAAAACAACCAAGCAGGAAGGAATCAGCCCACTCTGGCAGAAAACACCCAGAGAACCAGAGAGAAAGACAAGACTTGTCTAAACTGGACTAAACTAAAGAATCTAAACCAACTTTGTCAACAGACACACAACAGTTGGTTCCACCGTCAGTGAGAGGAGACAACACCTGTAACAGGTCGAAACTCACTTCAGCAAAACTCCCAAAGAACCAGAGCACCCAACAAAAGAGGGACACCTACGTAGACCAACCACTGGACCAGTCCCCTCCTCCCCGGGCGACCTTCCCATCCCACTCCTGTGACAGCTGGTCTTCCCGAGTATCTGCTTTGTATACCGTGTGGGCTGCAGCCCAGTCTGTGGCTGTGAAGCTGCTCCTCCCACTGTTCCCTGTATTCGCAGCCCAGGAACGCTCGCTCTTTCCTTTGCAGATGGACGCCTCGCTCTAGTCTCACCAAGGTCACAGTCTCGCCACCGCCTCTTTTCCTGTTTGTTCTTTTGTTTTCGGTGTTCTCCTGGAGGAGGATAATTCACGTGTTTTCTCTTTCCGACCAGAATGGAACAATTCCTGTTCTGCTCTTGTGTTGAGTACAAAACTAAAATAAAAATAAAAAACTTGTGGAAGAAAAAAACTGTTGGACACTTGTGTTCACGTTCTTTGTGGACCTTACAGTGAACAATGGGAATTTTTTTGAGGGGCTTTAAAAACACACCGTGTAGGTAGGTGGAAAGTGTTGGTTCCAGGAATTTAAATCATCCTGACATTTTAATGAGCTTAGCACAAGAACAACACAGACTGAGCTCTGAGCGGTGACTCTTTTACCCACTGTTGGCATTTGTTTGGTTTTTTTTAAATGTGTTTGTTCATTTTTCAACCGACAGTGACCAACCAACATAGCAGTTTCAGCTAACACTTAGCCGTACAGTAGCAGTCAGCCAGTCTGTTACAACAAACCCAGTAACAACACGGTTTCAGAGAAGTACAGATTTGAACCATGTAGAAACATTTCATTCATTTTTTTTCCACTAGACACTAGAAACCGACAGGATGTTAAAACCAGGGAATATGAACTAATATGAGGCGGTATCTTCTTGTCTTTACCTCATTCTGCTAAATTCTGATATATTATTAAATTAACAGACACTAACCACCACCTCTAACACCGAAGATCAACTTCAAACCTGTTTGGACTGCGGTCGGGCTCCAATAGGGGGGGCTCTCGTATAACGTGCATCGATGGGTCTGGGTCGGGCCTGACTTTCATTGTCCTCTTCCTCCTCTTCTTCCTCCTCATCACTGTAATCTTTGTAGGTCTGCACCGCCCGCGGCCTCAGGGATCGTCTTACCTCCAGCACCACGTCTTCCTTCTGTAAATAAGAGACACAGAGTAGAGACTTTGATTCAGAACGTCTGAAACATTCACACAATGATGAATAAATAATAAGAATAAAAAGTCAGTGACAGTGACATCAAACAGCACATTTTAGAGGTTCTCGTTCCTCACCTTTGACCGAGGCCTACTCCTGTGATGAGCTGCTGCTGGTTTCGGCCTCCCTCTCTCCTGCTCCTCCTCTTCCTCTTCATCTTCATCGTCATCATCACAAACTGCAGCGACGAACCTGGCCTTCGGAGTTCCTCTGCCTCGTCCTTCTTTCTGCTGATAAATTCACATCATAGTAATCAGCACCGTGTTTCACAACCACATGACTGAGAGGGTTTATGTTGAGGTTTGTCAACTCGTTTTTTTACCTTCTACTGGAGACAAATGAACAGTTTTCTTTCTTTCACAGTTAGTCTTCTCATTCTTGAGACATTTCTGTTTAAAATACTGTGTATGAGCATGAGGAGAAACCCAACATCGTTTTATAGAACACCAGTGGTTCAGTGAAATGGTCCGGTGAGTGGCCTTTATCTCTGCTGACATTTACCCCGCTCACTGAAACAGCCTGTAAATGGCCACTTCTGTGTAACGAGGGATCAAACTGGCCAGCACTTTACTGGAGGAAATTAAATGACACCCGGGGAGGAGAGAGGAAAATCAGCAGCATAATTGGAGACGGCGTGAGTGTGCGACGTCAAACTCATTCAGATTAGGGCGACTGAGAGAGCGACCTCAGCCCCCGAGGGTCAGGGAGTGATCGTGGTGAGTCTGAGGAGGACAGTGTTTGGTCTCTCCAGTGTTTGCTCTCTCCACCTGTGGTTGACACTGTTAGTGGGGGGGTGCTCAGGGGGCGCTGGTTAACTGGCCACTTCTCTGCGGTCACTGTTGGGGTCAAGAGGCTCAGAAATGTCTGTGACCATCGACGGAGTTTCTGAAACTTCCCTGAATGTTTTAGAAAAGATGGTGTTGGTGAAAAACCAAGAGATAATTCCTGAAGATATGGGGATAGTCTCTGCTACACTGGAAAATTATATTTTCTTTATATATTGTTTATTTGTTTGAGAGCCTTAATATTTGCTGTTTTGTGATGTTGTTAAGTCTTTCCACATTTACAAACAAAGATCAATGGCTTTCTGAAGTTTTCAGCAACAAATAATGAAGTCATGTCTCTCCTGGATTCTTCCTCACCTTTTCCTTGGAACTAGGATCTGGGACGTTAGAGGACGACGCCCCTGCAGGACGTGCAGGCAGGTGCAGGTCAGGTCTTCCCTTCACAGTGTGGCACAGCAGTTGTCTGAGGTGATGGTAGTTTGGTTCTTCATCGTAGCGGAGGTTTCTGACATACAGGAGGAACGAGGCCACTTCATCTGAGAAGAGAGAGAGAGAGTCAGAAGTCAGTGTGTTTACAGTGAGATTTCAGCCTTGACTAATCAAGAATCTCTGAATTCTGTATCAACAAACAAAGTCAGTGTCTTTTTTAAAAAGCCTATCGACACACAAAGTCAGTGTCTTTTTTAAAAAGCCTAAGAACTCTATTATTCCCTGTGAAAAGCACTATTTTAGGCTGCAGTTCTGGTGCTGGGCTCAGGGTGAAATAAATCGTGGGTGTTTGGAAGTCATGTGGCAGCTGAGGCAGGATGAACTTGAACAAGTCGCTCCAGATATGCATCAGCCTGGCAGTGTATCTCTACACAGAGGGCAGAGCGGCCGTGGATATGCACCGTGTCTGCGCGCCGAAGTGTCATACGTGGTCAGCGTCCATACATCATGCGCTGACCAGGCCGACATCTGTGACACTCGCCGCAGCGCACACACACTCCACCGCCGTGATGCATTAAGTGTCTCTTATCTGCAGCAGGCAGCGAGGACCTGCTAGTGTCCATACGTCACAGCGTGAGCCCTCACACAGGTGTGACCTCTCCTCACACGGAGGAGATAAAACCAGACACAGCTCTGAAAGGCACAGAGATGGGACAGCTGCCGCCGAAACCATCCCACGGCAAGAAGCAAAAAATAATAATTATAACAAATACTGAGAGGTTTGTGAATATTTCCTGCTGGTATGAACCAACAGTAACTGATTTTAATACCAGTGTTATTAAAGTAGACATCTGATGCTGTTTCTTTACGTCACTAGTTAATAACAAAAACCATCATTCAACCGGAATCTGAACCAATGACCTCTGCAGTGACCTCTGAACCGCCATTCAGCAGTGCAATAAAACTTGTGCTGCACAAAGGAATAATAATAGTAATATATAACCCTGACTGCAGACACGAGCGCCTTGGATGTCAGCGCAGTAATGAAGACGTCCTGCGTCTTACCTGTGCCGCTGTCCCTGCTCACTGACAGCTGCTGGACGGAGTCTGGGAGATTATCCATCAGTCTGAGGGAGGAGAGCAGGTGAGGAGATTTAAAAACCAGGAGGAAGTGAAGACATTAGCAAACACAAAGGACAGAAGACGCAGGCAGATGTGCAGCGACGGTGGAGGACGTATCAGTGACACCTGAGACAAACCAGGGAGTTCAACCTGAAGGCTGATCCAAACACACCAGAGTGATGGAAGACATCTCTTTTTAAACAGGCTTTTTCTGTTAGATTGGTAGAGTTGGCGGATTTGAGACGTCACTGTGCATCTTGACAATGACTCGGAGAAAGTTGCCTTCCAAGCCATTGTTGAACAGTTGAACAGTTGAACAATAACCAAGAGTTTTACTGGAAAATATGTAGTTGAGTATTGTAATCAGTCTCCAGGCCGACGGGATTGATTTTAAAATGAAGTCGGAATCTCTACCAATGCATGCTGGGAGTTTAGATAGATTTGTATTTTAAGCTTGAGATGAGAAGTGAAAACTTGTTTCCATGTTGTATCCAAATATTAACATGTGTATCAGCAATGATTAGTGAGTAGTAGTAGTAGTAGTAGTAGTAGTAGTAGTAGTAGTAGTAGTAGTAGTAGTAGTAGTAGTAGTATATTGTGGATATATACTGAAGGTAATATGTTCAGGTAAATCAGCTAAATATACAGTATACGTATCAGATGTAAATATACTATTTTTTTTTTATACTCTTGGATCCGACCCCAGTCCACCCACCTGGTCTTGGCCTCCTGCACCTGAGCTGGGTTCTTCAGAACACGGTCCCAGGGCAGAGAACCACACAGCCAGTGAAGGAGACAGAAGCCCAAAATCTGGAGGTCACTGCGTCTGGACGGAGCTGCAGACAGAAGGAGAGAGAAGAAGAAGGAGGAGGAGGAGGCCGTCAAAGGAATCCAATTCTTGTCACGAGGGATTTTTAGACTTTCATAATCTAGTCACGAGGGATTTTTAGACTTTCATAATGAGAGGTTTTTCCATGAATGTTTTGGTGATGTTTCCAGTGAGCTCATGCCTGCAGCCAATCACAGCAGGGGTTGCACCTCATAACAGCACATGTTTAAATCACCTTAAATATGACTTTAAGAGTGAATGGTGCCCTGCTGTGAGTGTGACTGTGATTGCACAGGTCTACATTAAAGTACCAGATCTATCAATACACATGGACCAGGGCCAGGTAGAGGGGCTGAGCCCGGGGAGTTTTAGCAGCTCAATACTGTAACGGCTGCCACCCGTCTCCTGAGAAATTACCTATTGACTGGCTCCATCAGAGGGGAGAAACTCCTCCCTGAGCCACAGCCAGCATTGATCCTCCTCAGCCAACAGTCTGCTCCACAGAGGAAGTGTGGTCACTGGCAGGCAGGAACAGATTACATGGGACGAGGCAGATGTAATCTGATTACACATGCTTGGTTTCTCTAATACCGTTCATTGTCCAAACAGACAGTGTGTCCTCACTCTTATACAGGCAGAAGAAAATATATGTAATGGACTGCCTGCACACGCAGCATCATTCCAGCTGACTGCACCCCCGTCCTCGGCTGATTTATGTGGCTGAGGACGTACAGGTGAAAAAAATGTCCTCAGTCTACGTTAGGACAGTCACAAAGTTTCTATTGTCTCAATTGGGTTATACAATTGTTTTTTATAATAATAAAATAAAATAATACATTTTAACTCCAAACAATCATTAAACTGTTATTTTTTTTATTTTTATTTTTTTTGCTTAAACTTTCACAGAGTCGGTGCATTTCCTCCTGCTCTGGGTCAAATAAAGAAAATAGGGAAATTAAATTCCTTTGCTTTGCCTCAGCCTCTCTGCAATAGCTCCTGCACTCCTCTAGAGGGCCCGTCTTCACCCTGGCTCTTCTCACACCATACATGCTGTCACAGCTTAATCGCCACAAAACTACATTTTATATTGTTTATATAAATGGAGTCCACTTCCTGTTCCTGGACTTCGTTGACCACCAGCTGCTCCTTCAGACACAGAGGTGGTTGAAGCCACATCTAAACTGGACCTCGTTACACTTTGTCTCCACAGCTCTGTGTTCGCTCTGTTAAACAGCAGTTGTAAAGTGGGCATCAAGTCAACATCACACTGTGGCTCTGGATTGTTGTACATAATTACACGGTGCTCCACGGCTACTCAGAGCTTGTTGAAGGAGAATAAAGATGACAAATACTGACACTGGAGAAAAGTAAAGTAACTCCCTGAGCGTGGTAATAGATTAACAATTAAAAAGATCAACAACTACATTAAGCATGGCTGCCCTCGGTGTGCACTGCAGGCACATTATCACAGCTCATAATGGTGGTGTGTGTGTGTGTGTGTGTGTGTCCGCTCTTCTGTGTTTAACTTGTTTTGCCCTCACATGATGAATGGCACAGGAACAGACTGAGATATGCACGTGCACACGTACGTGTACACACACACACACACACACACACACACACACACCCTCTCTCTCAGGGAACTCGGACCTGCTGAAAACACTCAGATACAGAATTCCGACCGTCCACGGAGGCACAATTGCTCCAGAGGAGGAGGTGAGGCAGCTATGATGCTGCTAATTATCTCCTATTGTTATTCAGATTCCCTAAAGCAGGCAGCGGTGTCGCGCTCTTAACCCCTTTTGCTCAGCAGTCCTTTCGTCAGGAGACAGTCTCATGTCCGCTGGTGGACGCCCACAGAATAGTGATAATTACACCGTTTAGCTTCGCCTTCAAGGCCTGACACTCGCAAGACGTGTTTACCAGAGTGCGCCATGGCAACCTGTCAGCCGCTCAACGTCTTCATGGACTCAGGTCAGAGGAACGCAGGCTTTGGTTCGTGACCTCCTGGAAGCTTTGGATAACACTCATACACAACGTCCAGAGATTCACTCCTGTTGTATACGAAGCTGCAGGTTTCTGACGCACCATCGTTGACCGGCATTTTAGTTACTTTAGACTCCATAACAGAAGGGGAAGTAGTGTTATTTTCAACACAATGTATTATCTTACTAACTTTATTCTTCATTTATGTCACGGCTATAAAACAAAAGTATTTGTGTCTGTCTCTCTCTCTGGTGTTGGTGTTGAAGGTTGCAGACCCCAGGTCTCGACTACAGGCTGCCAGGTGTTGGTGTTGAAGGTTGCTGACCCCAGGTCTCGACTACAGGCTGCCACCACGTTCACGTCAGGTGCTGGTTTTGCCTAAATCTTATGGGGTAAAATGATTTCCTATTAGGCAGGCTGGATATACTAGGATGTGCTGGGCAGCTTAGCGTCACCAGGCACATCCAGCGCTCACATTCTACAGTGCCAGGAATTGGGACATGCCTCGGGCTGCGCTGTGACAAATTTTGACAACAAGCTGACAATTTAATCAGCTGCATTCAGCTGAAACCCTTAAATTGAGACAAAGGTGATGTTGGCTGCTGTCAGCCATTTTTTTCACTCTGCATATTCTCTTCCTGTGGGTTTTTTAAGGGTCCTTGTTCTGTGTAGAACACTGACTGCATGTCAGTTCCTCGTACGACTACACTTCAAAAAAGCTGACCCGTCTCTTTTAAATTAAAAAGAGAGTTCCATTTGATAATTGCTGACACCGCACTTTCTGCCCCTCTTTCATTTATCGATCAGGGGTTGATAGAAACACCGCCACAGTGATTAGGCAGGCGGAGCTGTGCTAACGTACGATATCGAACAGCGGGGGGGCGACCAGCATGGGGCGCACAGAGGTTATCTGTGGCCCGGTGCTCACTCCCAACAACCACCAGAGCTCTTAATTAATGGAAGATGAATACAAGATGCAGGTTATGACTTTAGCTAATTAGGGAAGCGTTAAATAGAGAGAGACACGGCGGAGCTGCTGGAGTTCCGCGGAGGCTGGACATGGAGAATCAATGGTCAAGGAAGGAAGGGAGCATGTAGGCAATTTGCCAGTTAATGGGTTCCCAATATCAGCTGAGGACGGTGGAGTGTGGCGGCGTGTGCGTACCGACTGTTTTACATGTATTGACAAACACAAGACCTCTAAGGACAACGCCGGGAGTGGAGTAAATATAAACGCTGTGAGACTAAAGAAATACAAGCCATCGATTACCACCAACCTTTCTTTAAATATTTAACTAAAATCTGAAAAAGAGAGAATTGGAGAGAAATGCTTTTCTGTGAATTTGTTGTTGTGAAATAAATGTAAACATTCCAAGTAATGTTTTAAAAGTAGAGTTTGGCTAAAGGGAAAGTTTATGTTTTTATAAGTGCAGTGTTTGAGATGCTAATGCCTTGATGCAGGTTTGCATAAATGAATGTGGAACAGAAAATGTTACAGCGCATACATTACAGAGTACACAGTACTGTATATTTATACACTGTGTTTTTCCCCTCAGCCTGGGTTTGTCATTTAAATGTTGGGCTACCAAACAAAAAATTAAATGTAATTAGTCCCGATTATTCAAGATAAACGACATTCTTAAATAAACAGCTGTTTTAATTTGTGACTAATCCTAATGATGTAATGATTAATATGAAAAATGTCAAGAAACAAAAATCAAAATTTAGCTCCATAGAGTTGGTGGATTTTTCACTTTTACTGTGTATCTTGACATTGACTTACAGAACTACAGAAGAGTTGCTTTTAAAACTGCTGAGATCGTTGTAGCCTCTACAAACACATGCCTTACGTTGAGTTGGTATTTTAAGCTTGAGCTGCAGTAAAAACAAAACTTGTCTTATATAACTTATATTATAACATGTGTAAGAACACCTCATGTTAAAGACTGTGGTTGATGTCATCACTCTGACGGCCAAAGTCAAAAACCTCTCACCAACTCCTCTGTGGGCATCAGTGCTGGTGTACTCGATGGTCCCATTGTGGCCCTTCTTGGGGTTCTCTTTGTAGTCTTTGTGCTCCCCATCAGGACAATATCTGAAGGACAGTCCGTAGTCAGCCAGGTAGACCTGCAGGACAACAACATCGTATTTCTCATAATGAAATAAAAAATGTAAAGTCTTTTATTCCTCTTCTTATCTAAAGCTGCGGAGAGAGATTTCTGTTCAAATGACATTACCTTTTATTCCACAACTAAACTCCCTAATCTCCATAACTTCGGTTTATATCTGAAAAGCAGCTGCAAATGAGATTTGTGCAGTTGGAGATTTAAAGGGTACTGACCTTCTCACGGTCTCTGTGACCCTGCATCAGGTTGGCAGCTTTAATGTCGGCGTGGACGTACTCGTTCTCGTGGATGTACTCCAGCACAGTCACCAGTTCTCGACCAAGCTGAAGAACTGTGGCTTTTTTAAACATCCCTCCATTTTGATCCAGAACTTTCTGGAGATCGGTTCCCAGTCTGTCCATGGCCATGAATCGATATCTAATTCAAAAGAGTGACAACCATTTGTCCTACTTTATGATAACTTTCAGCTATTTTCTATTTGAGAGACCAAATGAATCAAAAAAGAAAATCAAAATGACCATATAGTGCAGCTGTCTTTAATAATCATGAATCGTGAACCGTCTACTGATGCCTTGCCATTGGTCATGTAAATACCTGAGGTTGTTATTCTCAGCGAGCCCTGATCCCCAGTAGGTTGGGATACCAAGAAAGTCCAGATTCCTGCCTTTCATCCATTTCTGCACTGAAACAGGATTACAGGAGAAATAATTATGCAAATGTGTGTCTGTGTGGTCGGTTCTATTTTTACACTCCTGAGGAACTGGTACAAGCTGTCTGAAAAGAGTGGTGTCACAGGTGTCAAACCACCCACTAAATTAAACTCCAAACCACAATGACTACAATAATCAGTGAGCAGTACGCCGCCGCTGCTGCTGCTGCTGCCGCCGCCACGGAACACTTAATCGTAGCAAAATACTTTTACTTATTCCATCAATGTCAGATTGTAATGATTTCCTAACCTTGAGAACGGCCCCAGTATAACAGCTCAGGTTTTCGAAGCCTCTGTGAGGAAGTCCCTAAACTCCGCAAAAGTAGGAAAACCGTTTGTCCGCGGCTTCAGATTTGACCTTGTGAGTGTAATAATGCATGTGTGTGAATATCAATCATAGAGTATTGAAGGAACAGTCCCTGCAAACACACAGAGGCCCCAGACATGGCAGTAGGTCTGGCTCAGTCTGGATGGCTACTGGCCTGACTGGCGCTGGACCAGGCTGGCAGGTGGTCAGGGGCTCAGTGGAGGCCCAGGCATCATTACATGTGAGTGGCTCCCGCTCTCCATTTCAAGGTGCTGGAGAGTCCAGACATGCTCAGAGAGGGAATTGTGTGTTGAGGGGGAGTGCGGGGGGGAGGCGTATGCTGATGGCCACTGAGGTGCATGTTTGCTTTGGCTTGTTATTAATTACTGTGTGGCACAGAGTGAAGCCCCTGTCTGTGGCCACTTCATCAGTCAAACTTGTTGGCGCTCCAGTGAGCTGCTGGGATGCTGGACAGGTGGCGCTACTCACTGCTCTCCACTTTGGCTGCCCTTTGGTAAAACTTGAGCTCGGAGAACAAGGGACCATTCTCGTGGTACTCCTGTGTGAGCGAAAAACAGTGTGTGTCTGTTAAAACCGCATTAGGGCAACAACAGCCTGCGCTGACAGAGCGGTCATTAAGGTGACCAGTGGTCAGCAGGAGGAGGAGAGCTGAAGTTACTACTGGTTATAAGTAATTAGAATTACAGCTGTCAGCTGAATAATCACGATTAATCGTGAATAATCCATAGTTACTCTGTGATTAATCAGATTATAATAAATAAAGAATACAATAAAATAAATGTACTGCTGTAACGTAATGCACTTTTATAGGGAATACAAATTAAAAACCGGTCAAATAGAAAATGACAGTTATACTCACCAACTTTATGACGTACACGAGTGCAGTTATACTCACCAACTTTATGACGTAGTCAGTATCTGCTGCAACAGGTCTGTCCACATCCAGGGAGGCTTTCAGAAAATGAAAAAAAAAATTATAAATTCAATTCTGTTTAATTTTTTTTCTATATACAAAGTGAAACCTCTGTTGTCTTTTTTTTGGCACAGAGACAGAAAATAGATGAACAGTTTTTAACGACTACAAATGCAGCAACTGTTTTTAAGGAAATAAATCCTCATGGTTCATAATGATAGTGGTTTATAAACAGTTCTATGGAGAGTTTGTGAGAAATGCCTGCAGCATGTGGAAAGGGATTTTTCTGTGACCAAACAACAAACAGTTCATCTCCAACCCAGATGGTCACAGTAAAACCAAGACGATGACACCGAGATGATGGCAGTTACACAAAATTGTCTGTCAAATCCTAAAAGTAAATTAGCAGAACATCATTACCATCATCACTGCTCTGTTCATTTAGTCTACTAAACAAATGGTTCCACATCTGAAGAATCTACAATAACAAGGCTATAAAACGCTTCTTTCTAAATGGGCCTCTTTTCTACTTGTTACTGATTGTAAGGGCAGGTCAACAAAAAGTTTGTTTTTTGCTCTCTGATTGTAAGGGCAGGTCAACAAAAAGTACCAGGACAGATATATCAGTACCAAGATAGATGAGTCCAAATCCTCCTTGTCCAATGATCCTCCCCAGCCTCCATTTCTTTTTCTCTGTGTCTGTCAAAATAAATCCATCTGGAAGTGGCTTTGGTAGCGCCAACTTCTTTGGTGGTGCCATTGAAACTGAAGTTAAAAAAGCAGAAAAAACCTTAAAACAAAATAAATAAATAAAGATGCCAGGTTAAAAACGCATTTTTGTGTGATTATACTACATTAATGTTAACTTAACAGTTGCACAGACAACGAATACCTCTGCGTTTTAATGACATCTAAGTCGTGTCACGTGAGAAGCTGGAGATTTAATTAATCATACCATGGAACTCCACCACTAGATGGAGCTACTTTTATGTTGTGCTTCATAATCAACACAGACCTTTAACAAAGTCGACAAAGTAACAGTTCGTGACTGTACGCTTCAGCGATTTAGAACTACACACTTTCTACAAAGTAATGCACCTGTAGGTGTCAGGGGAGCGGCTCTACCGAGTGAATCTTCATGTCGACGGTTAAAAAGAGGAGAAAACATATAACATTTGTAATAAGGCTCTTAAATCACACGCTTTAAAGCTGCTACTGACCTCAGCGTGACACAGCACCACGGCAACAGTTCGGCTTTTTAGCAGTCACATGTAGGAAAAAAGATTTATTTGGGTGAGGGGGTGTTGACAGTTTGCAAAACAAGACTATCCGAAGCAGAGAGTGCTTTAAAACAGAAACAGAAAACCAAAAGAGACCAAACGTTTTCGCACTTCCTGAAAGTCCCTCCCGCTTTAAGAAACATCCAATAGAAGGCGGTCTACGTCATGAAGCAGTAGCTGAGAGATACGCTGTTAAGGCGGGACTTCAGTAAATGACAGCATGGCTGACGAATGAGAATACAGAAGCAGTAAGTTTGTTTTTATTTCTTCTCTCTCTGCAGTTAACATATATATCCATCCATCTTCGTCCGCTTATCCGTTACTGGGTCGCGGGGCCGTAGTGGTGAGTCCACAGGAACAGTTAACATATTGTTATGAAAATATAAAAAATAAAAGAATATTGACAATTATACACTTTTACACAAGTCTGTGTCACAGACACAACATTAAACACGTAAATGGTTTAAAAAGTATTAAATTAACAATAGATATTCCATTATGGTAAATGGTTTTAAGTATTAAATTAACAATAGATATTCCATATAATAAAGAAAGTAGACAGTGTTTCGTTCAGTAAAGTAGAACCATCTGTCGTCACACTGCGTGATTAGATACTGGACTGTGACAGTTAAGACTCCAAAGTCAAACCAACCATTATGTGCTAATGCTGTTTATTCAACTTACTGAAACCCCATCAATGACCAGTTTGTTTTATTGATCTCTCTCTGATCTCCATCTGGCTGTACAACATGGTCAATAGCTGCTAATGAAGACAGGCTGTGTGGATACAAACAGGCACGTGTCTCTGCTCCAGTCGGCCCTGATCACACTCATCCTGCTACAGAGAGGGAACAAAGAGGTAAAACACCAACACCTTCACCCTGATGCTACTGTCAGTTTGAACCATTCCCTTCAATTCTAGACTCACGTTGAGCTGTGTTTTTGTCTTCAGTGTTCGTGATGCTAATAGTAGTTATATAGAACAACATCACACACTGAAATTTACCATTTTTATTATGGAGTTTGGTGGAAGAAACAAAGAAACAAAAATTCAGTCGGTTTGTCTGTGAGGTGAGCCTTTAGTTAAACGGTTTCATCGGTTTCTCTCTTGTTATTCTGCTTCAGCCTCTTCACTTCAGTTGTACCAAAGGAGGTTAAATGCATCTAATAAGGTCTTTGTCCTTGTCCAGTAGGACACAAACGTCCATCCCTGTACTGGATTGATCCAAAGTAGTTCCTGTTAACTCCATGACCTTGAACCGTGACCCCAGATTTAAACCTTGACTTCTTTCAGTCTCTCATCCACCCTCATCTCCTCTCTACTAACTTCCATCTTCCTCTCTCTCCACCTCAGACTCCGTCAGCTCTCCGTCGGGGTAATTGCTCTGAGTTTGTTGCTTTCATGCAGGGGCCACAACACCGTTTTTTCACATTAGCTCTTATGATGGAAACGGTATGATGGTCGTAATTAGAGGGACGCAGAGCAGGGCAGCAGTGGCTCTGACCCAGGGTGGCCTGAGTCCATATGGTTGGAGGCTGATAATGAGCAGGTTAATGTGCTGTGTCCATTTGTACCAGCTACTCAGTGTGGACAGAGAGGGAGTTTGACACTGTTTGTCCTTTTTACCCCCCCTTTACCCGCCCCCACACACACACCTCCACACCCACACACACAAACACATGCGTTTACATTTTTACTTCTTAGTCCAGAAAAATACAGTAACTTTACGCAGTGGTATACTGCAATATTTAGCAGACAAATTTATCTAATTCTATTCCTGTATTAAATATCCAATTAACTTACTTCACTAATTAGCGGATAACCTTTTAGCTAGCCTTTCTAGCCTTTCTAGCCTATTTATGAAAAAATTATAAGGTGTAAAATTTAAAATAAATACAATTTTCTCTGTATTTGTGTCTAACTAATGGCTAATTAACGGCCAGCAGCTAATTAATTTAGCTAATTTACCTTCCTTAAGATCAGGTTGGATTGTTTGTCAGCTGACGCTCTGTGAATAGAAACTCTCACCTACAACAACATGTACTAAATGGTCAAATAGTAGGAAAGTTAACTCTGTGTTGGACTGGTCCCTGTCAGGGCCATATTCAGATGTTGTCTTGAATTTATTCTCTGTTTTTTTCCAGAGCTGGTCTAATGATGCATTTTTTATTTGTGCCTAATCATTTACAGTAGTCACACTTGTCAGCACATTAGTGGCCAGAACAATTTGTCAGTAATTATGGACATCTTGCCCTCAAGCATCATAAACAACACTTTCAAACTGTTTCATTTTATGAATCATTTGTTTCTGGTCTTGTCTCTCAGCTCCCATCATGCATCTGTGCCACTTTTTCATGTACTGACTTGGTTTCGGTATGAATATGAAATTAAGCCAGTTCAAATGAAAGTAATACAAATCTAATGGCCAGTAATGAGACGGCTGTTTCACCATTATTGGATGGGAACTTCTACGCCAGAATGTGTGTGTGTGTGTGTTGCGTGTTAATGACTGTATGATTTGATGCTAATAAAACCGTACTTTCTGCTCCAGAGAGCGCGTGCACTGACCAGGATTCAGATTAGACCCTAATGGCTTTCAGGCCTGGGGCTAAACTAAAATGTAAAAGCCAACAAACCAAACATCACCTCGTCTAAACGTGTCTCCATTCCAACAAGTGGAGAAACGGAGACGTGGTGCTGTTTAACTGCAGTTTGACTTGTTTTACGGAGGAGAACTGCATGAAAGATGGCGCTCTTAACTGGTGGTGGTTTGCATGAAGCTTGAGCCTCACTTGTTTTTCTATGTTTTTCAAAAAAAAAAAAAACTCGACTTGCATAGAAATTACCAGAAAAGTGAGGGATGTCGGAACTGAATGTATTGAATGTATAGGTATAGATTGGCACTGTAACGCCGTAACTGTTCAGATGTGGCCGCTCAGCAGCGTGGCCCAGTGAACTGGATGACTCAGGTGCTTAGAATGAGTAATTATCACATATGAGCAGGACAAACACGTCAATGTTGGAACACAACACAGGCTTTACTCCTTGGACCTATTGATGTTTGTGTGGAGCCACTCAGCTCTGAAACATTTATTGCAGTTGAAGTGAAATGAAAACAAGGATTTCAGTTTGGCAAAGATCAAAAGAAATGGACAAAATATCTTTAAGGAGTCTTTTATGAAACGAAATGCACTGGTCCAATAATGAACCACATCAGTTATTTACTTGGACCAGGAACATTTAACTGGCTCCACAGTTCAGCCAAACTGGATGTTCCTTAAACGCTTGTTAGGACTAGTTTCTAATGAACTCTTTACTGAGATCAAGCCCACCTTCCTCTGACCTGAATTATATTTCTTTCTTAAACTGTACCTAAAAGATGAATGTCTTTTCTGGACCTTGAACATCCATTGCTGGTTGGCTAGAACCCCAGCTAGAGAACAGAGGCTGTCTTCAAAATAATTCATCTCTCAAAGACAGCAATCAAAGATTTAGTCATTATCCCAAATGAGAAACAAAGTACATCAATTATGGCTAGACTTCTTTTTGGCACAGCGTCGGATTTAATGCTATTCAGTATGATATCTAAATACAACGCGGTGGAAGAGTGGTTAGTGTTCATGTCGTACAGCGAGTCGATCACTGTATGAAGTTTGGACGTTCTTTCTTTTTTCCTGTGAATTTTCTCCAGCTACTCCAGTTTCTTCCTTCAGTCCAAGAACACGTTAATGGTTCGCTCCGTATTGATAGATGTTTATCCTTATTTGCGGCTCTGTGATGTCATCCGTCTTTGCCGCCGACTGCTGGGATTGGCTCCAGTTTCCACTGCCACACTGAAAAGGTTGGAGCAGTGCAATATGAATGAATGATGTCAGACGTTGGCAGATTATTGTCCAGCAGGAGCCCAATCATGTCAGTCCTGGAACTGAATCACAAAAGCTTGAGCTTTAGAACTGATGACGTTCAATTGGCCGTTTAGCAACGCTGCGCCGCGGGCATGAAAGAGACGATCACACCGACAAAAACACATGTCTGCTAAAGATGTCCAACTTGGATTCTGATTCATTAGTACCAATGCATCTCAATGCTACACACACACACACCAGACACCAGTCGTAGTTTGGATATAATGTTATAGTTATTGATCATGAACTGAAGTTTCAATGGTCATGGATTAGCGACGTAGCCTTTTGACCCAAACTGCTTCTGTTAAACTCCTTCACAAACATGAAAGAAGCCTCAGGTCTTTGAGCCATTAATCTGTGACAAAGGCCACACGCTGTATGTTAGTCTCACTTAGCATCTAATACCAAACCCAGTTACAAACAACAAAGAAACAGAGAATAATTTATTGATTCATTCCCCATGCTAACGAGAGTTTAGAGTTGCACGAACAAACAAACAAACAAACAAACGGCACTTTACTTTTTCCTTTGTTTCATCCCAAGTCCTGCCCCTAAATCATTCTGACCTCGATAAACAATATACTTTTGAAAAACACAAAAGAATCTCTGATGTTCGTCCCAAAGATTGTCCAATTTATGCATGTGTGTGCACTGCATGTGTGTGTGTGTGTGTGTGTGTGTGTGCTCCAATCTGGCCCTTCTCTTCTCTCACCTGGGTATCCTAACTAGCTCGGAGAGTACGGCGGCGCGGCTTGCAGGTACCGCAGGGCAATTACACAACTATCATTCTCCGCAGACTACCTTTGATGTTGTGCCTCAAACAACAATGCCGTCCCTCCCTTCATCCCTCGCCGCCGCTCGCAGAGTGTTAATTACCAAGGCAATTACCATCTGCATCCAAACCACTGTCTCCCAAACGGTGGGCAAGAATTCTGATGAGAGCTGAGTGAAGTTCTGAAGAGGACTGAGTTTGGTAGAACACAGAAGAGGCGTTTCATCACGTGATACTGAATCATAAAAATTGGGACATTTACAGTAAACTACGGAATAAATGAGACGAAATAAAGGGGGAATTTCAGGTTTTTAAGGTGGTATAAGACACAAACAAGTCCCTGCAGATAATCCGAGAAAATGAATTTTTTTTAAGTTCTTCTGCTTTACCAAAGTCCACAGAGATAAATTCAACTTTAGCCTACAGCGATTTAGTCACCCAAACAAGGGCTTCAAACTCTGAAGTCACAACAAAACATTTTATCTCAATAATGAAGGCACAAAGTCATCAACATCTAATGTCTGCTGT